CTGTCCCCGCTCTGTCCCCCCTCTATCCCCGCTCTGTCCCCGCTCTATCCCCGCTCTGTCCCCCCTCTATCCCCGCACTGTCCCCCCTCTATCCCCGCTATCCCCGCTCTGTCCCCCCTCTATCCCCGCGCTGTCCCCACCTGCTCCTGCGGGGGCGAGCGGAACTCGCGGGTGCGCCGGGCGGTCTCTGCGGCCGACATGGTCAGAGCCCGCATCAGGCGGCCGTAGCGGCGCCGCTGGTCCCGCTGCAGCCGCTGCACGTGGCGCTCCGAGAAGGCCACGATGGCCTCGACACGGTGCTGCAGCTCCCGCTCGCACAGGTGCTGCAGCAGGTGGCACATCTGCGGGGACACGGGGACATCGGGGACGTCAGGGGCATCGGGGACACGGGGGCATTGGGGATGTCAGGGACACGGGGGCATTGGGGACATCAGGGACATCGGGGACACGGGGGATTTGGGGACATCAGGGACACGGGGACATTGGGGACATCAGGGACATGGGGGCATTGGGGACACGGGGACATCGGGGCACAGGGGCATTGGGGACACAGGGACCTCCACGTGGTGCTGCAGCTCCCGCTCGCACAGGTGCTGCAGCAGGTGGCACATCCTTGGGGACACGGGGACATCGGGGACAATGGGGACATGGGGACATCGGGGACATCGGGGACAACGGGGACACGGGGACTTTGGGGACACGGGGGCATTGGGGACATCAGGGACATCGGGACGTCAGGAACATCAGGGACATCTGGGACATCGGGGACATCAGGGACATTGGGGACAGGGGCACTGGGGAGATGGGGGACACTGGGGACACAGGAGACATGGGGGACACCATGGGGATGGGGACCCCAGGACATCAGTGGGGAGGGGACAAGAACACCGGGGAGGAGAGCCCAGGGAGGGGACATGAGGTGCCCACGGAGAGGGGACAGTGAGGGGACACAACCCCCACCCCGGGCCCTCCCTCACCTGCAGCTTGACCGACTCCGGCAGCTTCATCTGCAGCAGCCCCTCCTCCGGCTCTTCCTCCTTCTCCTCCTCTTCCTCCTGCACCTCCGCGGCCTCGATGGCCTTCGTCCTCCTGGCCTCCTCCTCATCCTCCTCCTCCTCCTGCAGCTCTCCAGCCTCGATGGCCTTCCTCCTCCTCACTTCTTCCTCCTCCTCTTCCTCCTCCTCCTCCAGCTCTCCAGCCTCCACGGCCTTTTTCCTCCTCGCCTCCTCATCCTCCCCCTCCTCTTCCTCGCCAGCCTCGATGGCCTTCCCCTCCTCCTCCTCCTCCTCCTCCTCTTCCCGCCGTCCCTCGCTGTCCCCGAAGACGCGGGGCTCGATCATGCGGAGCACGCGGCGCACGTCGCCGTCCCCCAGCGCTCCCACCGCCAGCAGCGCCGACACCAGTTTGAGCACGGGCACCAACTGGAACTCCACGCTGCCCCCCACGGGGTCCCGGGCGTGGGGACCCCCTCCGGCCACCGCCTCGGCCAGCATGCGCATGGCCTTGGCTCCCAGCTCGTCCAGCGGGATGGCCGGGCTGAGCGGCGCCCGCCCTCCGCCGCCCCCGGCCCGGATGAAGCAGGGCTCCGAGAAATGAGGCTGGGGTCTCAAGCAGGCGCTGGGCCCCACGCCCGGGGGTCCCGGGCATCGCCCGCCGTCGGGGAAGAGCGCGATGGAGCGCGTGGCCTCGGTGATGGGCACGATGAACTCGGCGCTCATGGAGGAGCGGGCGCGCTGCGCCGCGTCCAGGTGCATGGCCAGCAGCAGGTCGTAGTAGCCGGCCCGCAGGGGTCCCGGCAGCTCGGGGGTCTCGATGGCGAAGAGCAGCTGGGCCTGGTCCACGTGGCTGCAGAGCGCGTGGGCCACGCGGTTGTTGCCCAGCGCGCACACGGCGCAGTAGAGCCGCAGCGTGTGGCACTGGAACTGCAGCAGCTCCTCGCGCTCCCACAGCTCCAGGATGTCGATGCACCTGGGGGGGAAATGGGGAGGGTCGGGGTGGGGGGCACGAGGGGTG